GCCATTATGCCTGTGCAGTGGCATGCTTTAGCACTGGGTTTATTTGCATCAATAATAGCACCATTTGGAGGATTTTTTGCCAGTGGCTTCAAGAGGGCTTTCAAAATAAAGGTATACACCACTTCATTGTTTGCGTCAATAAAATTGTTTTACTCAAAATGATATACTTTTTTTTTTACAAAAAAATGTAGGATTTTGGCGACAGCATACCTGGGCATGGTGGAATTACTGATAGAATGGATTGTCAAGTAAGTATCTCAAGAAACGTTTTAGCTACGGGGAAATGTTACTGACCTATGGTTATGCAAAGCTTTTAACATTCTCATTCTATTGAAATAATGTAAGAGGAGGCCTTTGTGCTGTGGCTAATCTAAACCATGAGCTACAGAACAATCAATTGAACCAAATGTCTAAGCCTAATGATGGCAGGAGTAGCAACCTCATTTCCGTGGATTGTTTTTGTATTTCTCCTTTTATGCATACATGTTACCTTTTATTGAGTATAAATGTGTTTGTTTGTTACATACTTGTTGGGGAAAAAATCCTGCCAAGCTGAAGAAACCCCATACTTTAATACCAGCCTGTACACTAGCTTAACATAAATTTCTGCTTGCTTTTTCCCCAGATGGTTATGGCAGTGTTTGCTTACATATACCACCAATCATTCATTGCACCTCAGAACTTCTCTGTTGTGATAATCTTGGATCAGGTGAGGATCATTATTATTTAATTTTCTTTATCTTGAGTGATTCTCCCCTTTTTTAAGCAATTTATCTTTTGTCATTCTAACCAATGTCTAACTTTTTTTCATTCAGATTATAAGAAACCTAACCTATGAGGAGCAAAAATACATATATGAACAACTTGGGGAAATGTTCCATGCGAGGCAATTGGCGCAAAGTTGAGGGGTTAGCGTGCTCGTGAAATGCATGATATGTTGTGTATTTTATTTAAGCCTTCGGCTCATTCTGTAGCTCTAGCTCATGTATAGCAGCATGGCATGAATGTACCGTGATACGGAGTCCTTGCCCAAACCATTGTATAGAATGGTACTTCTCCGTTCCAAATTATAAGTTGCTTTGATTTTTTTGGTTCATCCATTTTGCTATGTATTTAAATATATTATTATATCTAGATGCATGATAAAATGGATGTACCAAAAAAGTTAAAGCGACTTATAATTTAAAACGGAGTGAGTACAATCGAGAGAATGAATGGGTTTTAGGTGCTTTATTCATTCTCCACTGACTGCTGCCTAATTCACTCCCCCTGTCATCATTTCTGCACTCTTTGTAAAAGGGGACCTGGAAAGTTTTATTCTTCCTTATCACTTCGTCGTGCTGGCCTCAGATCAAATATTCGATGATTCACATAGTATAAGATGAAGCAGGGCTAGTTCTTGTTTCCTTCTTTTTTTGTCGGCCATCAGGCTCTTCACGGCATATTTATCATCGTGGTTAGGGTCTCCAATTGCCCAGCTAATGTCACGGCATAAAGTCGCAAGCTGATGTTACAGCTTCTGTTCGACATGGAGCAGAGAACTAAAGAACAGAATGACACTGGGTTCAAGAGGTGATCTCGTACGCTCGCAGATAGGCTTACGGTCTACTCCCTCCGTCGCACAAAGGTATTGTTCTTACTTTATTAATATTTACAGCATATAATTAAATTAATTATTAAATATATTTTGATAATAAATTTATTTAAAGATACAAATGTTGCTAATATTTTTCTACAAACTTAGTTAAATTTAAGAAATTTTTTCTTACATATCTTTTTGTGATAGGAGTATGCTCTTTCATATTTGTAAATGATTGATCCATGTTTTTTATTGTTCTTTTATACTCACACCTCCAAATCAGCTAGCGAATTCGACACAGTGTTGGGGACGACCTTGCCAAGAAAAAAGAAAAATCTTGTGTTAGTTGATAAATTATCTGCTCCCCCTTTTCATGCATCCACGTGTTACACCAATTGTGCAAAAACATGTACATCCATGCGCCTCCCGAAGGAGGTGGAAAAGCCGATAAGGTTCATATGGCGATCCGTCGTCCTGATTATCAGATAATGGGAACTGAATCACAGATGTTGCTCCTTTCTTTTTCTTTCCTTTTTTTTTTAATACCCAAAGTGGAGGAACCTGTTAATTGTCGTGGTGAGCAGTTGTCAAAAGAATCCGAATCAACAATAATCAACACGCAACGGTTCTACCCTTGGATATCCGCTCCGGACAAAGCGTTGTTACTATATCGGATGGCTTCTGCTTACCTACCTGTAAGCGTATATCTTACAGTCGTGGTAATTGCCCATGATATCTTGTCGCATGATACTCACTCGATTATGCTGAGCATATATAGAAGATGCTTTCTAATAACCATAAAACTTACTACAAATTTGTTGCTATGGATCATTGGTACGTACACTTGAGGCAGGTAATTCTGGTTTGAGGAAACACAAGTATGTAGTATGTAGATTATTTTATTCTAAAAATGGAAATATATCAATAGTTGTATTTTGGACGTTATATATACTGTTGTAACTTGTAAGAGTTCATATGTGGAAACATATGTTAAAGAGTAAAGTATATTTTTCAATCTCCAAGTTGCACGCACGTGAGTTTGATTTTCAACCCTGAACTATGAAATCGGGTAAAAAAAAATGATCCACTGACTGCTTTCTTAGTTGGCTTTCTATGTTTCATAAAATAATAAAATTTGGTGTGATCTCTAAAACTCAGTTAATTTATTTTCAATAAAAATATGAAGCTAGTACCAAATTATTTCTAAAAATGATTATGTACCTATTTATTCCCTCCGTTCCTAAATTTTGACTTATCTAGATATATTACTTTTACTATACATCTAAATATAGTGTATATTTAAGTGTACGACAAAACTATGAATCTAGAAAAGCCAAAACGTCTTATAAGTTAGAACATATGGAGTATTATATATATTCTAGATATATGCTCCCGTGTTGCGCTAGGGCCATAATTTTTGTGATTGAACCTCAGTAATCGGACGTTGACACATGGATCCGATCTTCGTATCGAAATTGGATAGGACGCGGACGCGTGAGTTCCGAGTGGAGGATGATTCTTATTGGACACAGACACGTGAGCAAAGATTGACATTTGGTATCGCCGGATAGACTATGAGATTAGAGTCTTTTTAGGTGTATATAAAAAAATTTATTTGTTACTATTGCTTTATTAGCGGTAGTCATGCTCATTATTTATTTAAAATAAATAAGATCCAAATAACTCTAAACAAAGCACCAACAAATAAGTAACATTTTTATAAGAAATCTGGAACTACTCGCTTCGTCCTGAAATACAAATATCTAAGGAATTTTAGGACCAAATAAGGAGTCCTGCAAAAGACTAACTTACCTCTCACTAATTAGTTAGTTATGTTGTTAACTTGCTTAATTTCCTAATAAGGCAGTTTTAAAAGACATGTATGTATGTCATTTATTTTGGTTATAGATTACATAGTTATTTTGGGCAATACGATATTTAAAAGGCATGCATGGATGGGGTTTAAAATAAATCATGCATGAATATGATTAAGTAATCAAGAATACCTTACAATCTAAGATAAAATAATTGTGAATTTTAAAATGGAGGGAGTAGTTCCATATTTTTACGACTTTAAATAAAATAATTGTGAATTTTTAAAGATCATACAAGGTTCTTATTATTTTCAAAAAAATGAAAAACCCCACCTTTAGAATCACTCAGAGAACCAATTTTGTCTAATTTATATAGAGGGTATCCATTACTTGATTTTATAGTTCAGGATTGAAATTCACGCATACACCTTAAAGAAAAAACAGTAAGAAGAAAGGAGCTAGAGCATACCAAACCGCGTGTACACCCACACCTATAGATAAGATTGTTATCCCTACCGATGCAAGCATACATCTATGTTTCCAAGACTCCGATAGCTTCTTTGCCAAGTGAAATGTGCAAACATACACCAAGTAAGATTGTGATTTCTACCCAACAGCCCACTATAAAAATCAAACATATCTGTCTAGAGCCAATCCCTCCAATGATTATTCATATTGCTCACCGTCGATGGACAAACCACAAAATTCACTCGATTTCACTCTGGGTGATGTGATAAATCTTTATCTCTACTATCTATTGATCATTAAAGAATAAAACGTTAGTTCCAACTTCCAGTATTCATACAAGTTAAATAAAATAACTCGTGTCGATGATACAGAGTTTGATTTAAAATATAATAATATAATGGAACCTACGGTCACACTTGCTAACGAACAAAATTCCGGGAAACAAAGCCCTTGTTCCCCCGACGGGCCTCCACCATGAAACCTGTGGGCGAGAGCCGAGAGGAGTAACGGCGTAACGCTCCACTTGGATGAGCTTTCACCACCACAGTCCGAGTTGGAAGGGATATACGACGAATCCATCCAGCACAAGCGACAGTCCCGTCCCATCCTATAAATAGCAGACCACAGCAGAGAGAGAGAGAGAGGGAGGGTGTCCTTCTCCGCTCCGTCCCAGGAAACCCGGTATAGCATCAAGGAGCGTTTTCTGTCGTGTTGATTGATCTCCCTCCCCTTTCGCCCCCGTCCTGCCTCCTGGCCTCACCCCAGAAAAAAAAAGGTGAGATGCTTTCCTCTCCTCTCCCTTCGATCCAGTAGGTTTGCAGGCTATTTCCTAGATCTTGTTTAGGCATTTGTCCATCTTGGAGTGGCAAAGTCCCTAGCTCCCACAACGGGTGTCTGCTGTTGGTTTTGATCATACTTTTTTTTTTGCATTCGAGAAAGCCCCGTGCTTTGTTGGAATCCACGTGCTTAGGGCTGGGTGGATCGTCTTCTCGCTTCAAGAACACGTCGAAATCCGTGGGATTGGAGGGATTTGTGGGGTTTTCTCTTCTCTTTTGGTTGGAATTGTGGGTTTTGATCTGTGTGGATTCTGTTGCAGGGGGCGAGAAGGGAAAGGGCGTGCTTGGGGGAGAGAGAAGGAGATGGCGCGCAATGCGGTGGACAAGGCGACGTCCATCGACGCGCAGCTGCGGCTGCTGGCCCCGCAGAAGCTCTCCGACGACGACAAGCTTGTCGAGTACGACGCCCTGCTCCTCGACCGCTTCCTCGACATCCTACAGGACCTGCACGGCGAGGACATCAGGGAGACGGTATATAAATGCTCCAATTGATTCCTGCCCACGGTGCTATTTGTTCCTTTCTCTTCGGTGCTGGCAATTGATTTAGGTGGTAGATAGCTCGATCATGCTTGAAAATCTGTTTATACTTTATACTGTCATGCATGCATGAGTCGTGATAGCAGGAGAAATCAGACAGAGCATCTGGGCCTTGTCCGTTGTGTGTTTCTATGGTGATGTTCTTCCCATCTGTTTTGGTATTGCACTCTGGCGATGGAAATTAGTGCTGCATTTAACAAATCGTAGTAGCACTGGGGCTCCACCCATTTGTTTTACAGTTGCTGATCAATATTGTACTAGTTCCCACTTTGTGTTTTCTAGCCTTTGAAATTGGTACATCACCATGATGTTCAAAACTGGTGGGGTTATCATGATGTGTGGATCACTTGCACTATAATTCTGGCCTTTTGATACTCTTGGGTTATTATGCCCTTGGAAGTATTGTTGTTGCTGATACGAGCTAGTTTGCACTTTAGAGTTATTGCCTTTTCTATCCATAATTAGTATAGTAAAATCATAAAAGGCTACCTTTTTCAATGCATCAAGCCATCGTCCTACTCCTATCACATTGTTGATCCTTGGCTGCCTTGCAGGTAAGCAACTAGCTTACTAACACGCACACTTACTCACTATGGCTAGAGGTAGAAGAAGAGATTGAGAACAACGCACACACCCACTCAGCACGAGCACCAGCGTTGGCCGAAGCCCTGCCTTTTGGTTTGTGGCAACTGAACTGAGTATTCCATTGCCCTTTGGATGTAATATATACAACTCTAGTTGTACCTCTACTAGGTACATAGTTGTTGGTCAACTACCTACTCCTGAGTACAAGAGTACACCAACTACCTACTCCTAAGGTACATGGTTACCTACTCCTAAGGTAGAGAGTATACCAACTACTTCTAGCAGTACAAAGCTTACCTCAGCCCACTACCAAAACATGGCTGATGTAATAGCTACCAACTAATATACTAGAGGTGGCCTATTGCAATACTACTACTGCTACAGGAACTGATCGGCAGAGCCGATCAGTCCCCAAACTCCCAACAGGGAGTGGTCGGCCGAGTCGACCAGTCTCCAACCAAGGAGAGAATGGGGAGCAGCAGATTATGTCTAACAATTCTTCTCCTAATCCTGCTGCTAGCTAGATGCCTTGACCTCATCCATGCCAATCATCTTCCTCAGCTCCATGAACCATAGGCGTCCGAGTGACTTGGTGAGGATGTCAGCGAGCTGTCTGCCGGTCTCGACAAACTCGATGACGGTCTGGCCTCCATCGATGCAGTCCCGGAGGAAGTGGAACTTGATGTCGATGTGCTTGCCCCGGACGTGGAGGATAGGGTTCTTGGCGAGGGCGATGGCGGGCTGGTTGTCCACCATCAGAGCTGGCGGGTGAGCTTCCTCGCCGGTCACCGCGCCAGAACCGGCCTTGCCCAACGGCTAACACGCGCGCGGCACGTGGCAGCTGCGACGACGCACTACCTCACACGTCGATAATAGCATGATTTTTTGCTTCAGCGACTACCAAGCAATGGGGGCCGCTCCAAAGAAGACGAGCACGCCGGAGGTGCTCCGTCGCCCATCAATGTCGCCCGCCATGTTTGCATCGCTGAAAATAGGGAGCTCCGGCTCACCTTCCTTTGCCTTGGGGGTGCCTCACTGAACACCGTGAGCCGCAACTCTCCCTTGCCGCCACTCTTAGGGAAGATGATCGCTTGATCGAGCGTCCCCTTGACGTAGCGCAACAATCTTTTCACTGCCGACCAGTGATCTTCGCGCGGGTCCTCCATGAAACGGCTGACGTACCCTACCGCGAACTCAATGTCCGGTCGGGTATGAGTGAGGTAGCGCAGCCCGCCGAGGATACTCCGGTAGCGCGTCGCGTTCACCTTTTTGCAAGAAGGTGTGTGCTTGCTCGGCTTCACCCGCTCCTCCATCGAAGTCGCGCACGGCTTGCACTCGCCATGCCGCCGCGCTCCCAATGCTTTCTCCGTAAGCGCTACTGACCCCCGGAGAGATGCTCGCTTCCCCTGCCTCACCTCGATGCCGAAGTAGTAGGAGAGCGCGCCGAAATCGCTCATCTTGAAACGAGCCGCCATCTCACGCTTGAAACCGTCGATGTCCTCTGCTCGCGCTCCGGTGACGATTAAGTTATCCACGAGCTCCTCCTTCCCGCGTCGCCGCGTGTAGAGCACGTGCTTTGTAGCGCAGCGAGTGAACCCAAGCTCGCCCAAGGTGGCGTCGAGCTTGGCGTTCCACGCCCGAGGGCTGCGCCAGCGACCGTGAGCGCGCTTTGCGCGCACTTGAGCACCATGTGCTCAGCGTCCTTGACGGCGAAGCCCGGAGCTTGCTTGACGAAGACCGTCTCCGCGAGCTCGCCGTTGAGGAACGCAGACTTGACGTCGAGGTGGTGGACACGCCAATCCTTCGCTACTGCCATGGTCAACAGCAAGCGAACGGACTCCATTCACGCCACCGGAGCAAAGACTTCCTCGAAGTCGATGCCCTCACGCTGCACGAAGCTGCGGGCGACGAGCCGAGCCTTGTACTTAACAATGGCGCGCGCTCGTCCCGCTTCACCTTGTAGACCCACTTCAACCCGATCGGTCTGCAGCCCACCGGTGGATCTACCTGTTTCCATGTGCCATTGTCCTCGATGGCCTTCATCTCTTCCAACATTGCCCGTCGCCAATTGGCGTCACATTTAGCCACTGCGAACATCGGTGGCTCCTCGGCACTAACAAGGAGCAGCTCTGGATCATCGAGCAACCGACTCGCTAGGCCTGTGGCCCCTGTATTGCCGATGATGTTGTCCAGCCTACGGAACCGGACCTCCTTGCCATCGTGGAAGGCATCCACGAACTCGCTGATGTCGCTCGAAGGGGAGGTGAACTCGATCGGTGGTCCCCGGCTTCCCTGTTCTGCCGGAGTGGTCGGCATCGCTGCTGACCGTTCGACACCACTGCCGGAGTGGTCGGCATCGCTGCTGGACCGCTCGGCACCATTGTCGGAGTGGTCGGATCCACTGCTGGAGCGGTCGGCACCACTCCTGGAATGGTCGACTCTACCGCTGGAGCGCTTTGCACTGCTGCTGAAGTGCTCGACACCCCCTCTGCACTGCTCGACACTCCTCCTGGAGTGCTCGGTACTGCCCCAGGAGTGCTTGGCTCTATTGCTGGAGTGGTCGGCACCTCCTCTCCAGCGTCTCCACCATCGTGGATGACCATGCACTCGACGACGAAGGTGCTGGTGAAGCCGCCAGCTTCCCCTGTGCCCGGACTGCCCCAGTCCCAGGCCTCCTCCCATCGAACACCACATCCCTAGAAATCACCACCTTGCCTATCTTGGGATCATAAAGCCGATAGGCCTTGCTGCCCTCCTTGTAGCCCAGGAGCACCATCGGCGTGCTCCTGTCTTCCAGCTTGCCGAGGTGAGGCTTGGCGTTCTTCACATGGCCGACACAGCCAAATGTCCTGAGGAAGGACACATTCGGCTTGCGTCCATGCCAAGCCTCGAATGGCGTCTTGCCCTTCAGGGCCTTGGTGGGCGCGCGGTTGAGGATAAACACCGCCGTGGTCACCGTCTCTCCCCAGAACTCCGCCGGCATCTTCTTAGCCTTCATCATGGATCGAGCCATGCCGACCACCGTCTGGTTCCGCCGCTCCACCACGCCATTCTGCTGTGGCGAGTACGGTAGCGGTGTGGTGTCGCACCATGCCCTGATCCACAGAAGATGCGCAATGAATTCCATCGAGTGAATTCGCCGCGCGATCGATCCAGCAAAGACGCTGCAGCTTTCTTGCCGCTCTCGCCTCGCCGCGCGCCTTGAACTTCTTGACCGCTTCGCCGCCTTGGTCTTGCTGGTCGGTCGGTCAGCGCCATATGTACCGGCCGCGGTCATCCACCAAAGAAGATGAAGTACTTGCGCCCGCCGGGCGTCGCCGGCGTGATCGGCCCGCAGAGGTCACCATGGACTAGCTCGAGGGTCTCGCGCCACAGATGCCGTCGTCTTCGGGAACGGCAGCCTTCTTTGCTTCCCGGCCAGGCAGCTGTCACACAGCTCGCCTGAGTGCTCGATGTGAGGCAGCCCAGTCACCATCTTCTCCAGCCGACCAAGAGCGTCGAAGCTCAGATGTCCATACCGGGCATGCCACAGCCACGGCTCCTCCGTGCGTCGTGCAGCCAAGCAGATGGGCTGCTCTACCTTGAGGTCGAGCAGGTATAGCCGGTTCCGGTACCTCTTCACCTTGGCAAGAAGCCGCTGCTCCCGGTCCCTGATACTGAGGACGCCGTCCTTAATCAGTACCTCGCTGCCGCGCTCATCTAGCTGGTCAATGCTGATGATGCTTGAACGTAGCTACGGGATGTAATATACATCCGTTAGCGCGCGGTGCTCGCCGTTCTGGCACCTGAAGATGATGGTATTGCGCCCTCGAATCGCCACCCTTGAGCCATCACCGAACTTCATCATGTCGGTCACGTCGTCGTCGAGCTCGGAGAAGGCTGCCTTGGAGCCCGTCATGTGGTTGCTGGCGCCGGAGTTCAGGTACCACCACTGCTCCTGCTCACCGCCCACACGTCCGAGGTGGACTTGGGCGCGCGGTTCATCGAGGTTGACAGCCTTCAGAGCCTTTTCAGGCCCTTCCACCGCCATCCCTTCTCCCTTCTCCTTAGCCTCAACGTCGTGTAGTGCACAGAACGTCGCCATCAGGAGAGTGGCCTCATCATCATCATCAGCCTGCGCCTGATAAGCCTCAGCCTTCTTCTCCTGCTTGCTATTTGGGCACTTCTTTGCCCAATGGCCCATCTTCCCGCAGCGGCAGCAGGCGTTGGGGTCGACCTTCTTCTTCTTCTTCTCCGAAGAAGCCTTGCCGCGGCGCTTGCCATCGCCACAACGGCTGGAGGAGGCTTCCCCGGATTTCTTCTCCTTCGTCCGGGCAGCCCACTCCTCTTGTGTCAGCAGTAGCTTGCCGCTGTCTGTCGTTGTTGTTGCCTGCTCTATGTGCTCGTCCACCGCCCGCAGACGACCTGTCACATCCTCAATGGTGAGGGTGGACAAGTCCAGCATCGTCTCTATGGAGAGAGCAATCTGGATGTACTTCGCTGGCACGGAGTGGAAGTACTCGGAGACCGTCTCTTCTTCGTCGATGGTGACGCCGTGGCTCCTCAGCTTGCTGATGAGCGTCTGCAGGCGGAGGGAGAAGTCCTCCATCGATTCACCATCCTTTACTTGAGGTTGGTGTACTCCTGCTTCAGCAGCTGGGCCGTCGCCTTCTTTGTGCGGTCAGAACCGACGTGCATCGTCGCAATGGCTTCCCACGCCTCCTTAGCAGAGCTCTTCGCCCCCAACGGTTCCCTGTACTCCGCTGGCACAGCAGCGAGGATGGCTTCCAACGCTGACATGTCGTCTTCTTCGTTGTTGGTGCCCTTGTCAATGGCATTCCAGAGCCGTCGGGCTCTGAGCTTGACCTTCATGGTCACCGCCCATTCGCCATAGTTGGTGCGAGTCAGCGTCGGCCAACTGGTGCCGCTGACCTCCCGCACCATGCGCACAACGACCTCCTGTCGTGGCTGGGCAGCCACAGCAGCGCCGCTGCTGTCGCCCATCTCCAAACCATCCGTCATCGCCAGCGGTTAGTCCGGCGACGACGCTTGTACGGCTCCGATACCACTTGTTGATCCCTGGCTGCCCTGCAGAGGTAAGCAACTAGCTTACCAGCACACACACTCACTCACTATGGCTAGATGTAGAAGAAGAGATTGAGAACAATGCACACACCCACTCAGCACGAGCACCAACATTGGCCGAAGCCCTGCCCTTTGGTTTGTGGCAACTGAACTGAGTATTCCATTGCCTTTTGGATGGAATATATACAACTCTAGCTTACGTCTACCATGTACATAGTTGTTGGCCAACTACCTACTCCTGAGTACAAGAATACACCAACTATCTACTCCTAAGGTACATAGTATACCAACTACTCCTAGCAGTACAAAGCTTACCTCAGTCCACTACTAAAACATGACTGATGTAATAGCTACCAACTAATGTACTAGAGGTGGCCTATTGCAATACTGTTACAGCTACAGAAACTGGTCGGCAGAGCCAATCAGTCCCTAACTCCCAACAGGGAGTGGTCGGCCGAGCCGACCAGTCTCCAACCTAGGAGAGAATGGGGAGCAGCAGATTATGTCTAACATACATATGCTATTTTATATTATCCTTTTTCCACTCAAGTAAGTCCCTTCTCCTTGCCCATTTTTTTTGGGATATCTGTTAGCCAATCTTTGATTAACATTCTGATGTGTGGCTTGATTTCTTTGCTCATTCGTTACACAGCAATTCCAGTTTGTTCACCAACTCACTCTACATTCGATGGAAAATTTATATTTTTTTGTAAATGCTATAAAGTTTCCCTTTTTGTGAACAGGTGCAAGAATGTTACGAGTTAGCTGCTGAGTATGAGAATAAGCTTGACCCCAAAATGCTGGATGAGATTGGGAATGTGCTGACCAGCTTGGATCCTGGAGACTCCATTGTCATAACAAAGTCATTCTCACACATGCTTATCCTGGCAAACTTGGCTGAGGAGGTACAAATTGCATACCGCAGGAGAATAAAACTGAAGAAGGGTGACTTTGTTGATGAGAACTCAGCAACAACTGAATCAGACATCGAGGAGACACTAAAGAGGCTTATGCACCAGCTTAAGAAGTCCCCTCTGGAGGTATTTGATGCTCTCAAGAATCAAACTGTTGACCTCGTCCTGACTGCACATCCAACTCAGTCAGTCCGGAGATCACTGCTCCAAAAGCATGGCAGGTTTGTCTTGAAGCTTTCTGAACTGTTAGATCTCGGGATGAGATTTAATCGATGGAATTGAATATTTGCTATTCAGAAATGTTGGTTCTGTTTGTTCTTTATGCGCTATGCACCAGAGCAATGCAGTTTGTTCACACTGACATACCGCTTTCATAGAAAACCTGATGTTTATTTGACCACTTTTTTTTTTTAATGTGCAAGTCTTCGTTGCATGGTTTTGCGGTAGTCTGCCTTTTAAGAAACAACAGCAATAGAAAAAAAATTATTTCTCGAGGCATGTTGAATCATATGTTATATGTGCCTTTTCGATGCCTTAGATTCTTCACCTTTCAATGTGCAGGATAAGAAACTGTTTAACTCAACTTTATGCAAAGGACATCACTCCAGATGAGAAACAGGAACTTGATGAAGCACTCCAAAGAGAGGTAATTTTCTTAGATATTTTGGTATATTAGTGTTGTATAATACTATCTATGTAATCAGGAAATCTTTGTCACCTTCACCAAATATATATTTATATGATTCTAAATATGATTCTAATATACTGTTTCATTTCTTATCTACAGATTCAAGCTGCCTTTAGAACTGATGAAATCAGGCGGGCGCCTCCTACTCCGCAAGATGAAATGCGTGCTGGAATGAGTTATTTTCATGAGACTATATGGAAGGGTGTACCCAAGTTCTTACGCAGGGTCGACACTGCTCTTAAGAACATTGGCATAAATGAGCGGTTGCCATATAATGCCCCTATCATTCAGTTTTCTTCTTGGATGGGTGGTGATCGTGATGGTACATGGCATTCTCTCTCCCTTTTTTTTTGGATAGTATATTTGATGATATGCCGAATCATGCAACTGTAGTTCACAAGAAAGAAGTGCAAATATAACTCTGAACTGATATCCATGACAGGGAATCCAAGAGTGACGCCAGAGGTAACAAGGGATGTATGCTTGTTGGCTAGAATGATGGCTGCTAATTTGTATAATGCCCAGATAGAAGACCTGATGTTTGAGGTAAAAATAAGGGCACATTTTTTTTAATATTGTAGTGATATGAGTCTCATAAGATTTAATTTTATCGCATGCAGTTATCTATGTGGCGCTGCAGCGATGAGTTACGTGTAAAGATCGATGAGTTATACCGTTCCTCCAAGAAAGATACAACAAAACACTATATAGGTGCAGATTATATTATGATATTTTTGTTAAACATATATATCTTACACATCCTTGCCTATCATCTGCTGCAAAATATTTGACCAAACTAGTCGCCAACCTGTTCTTTCCAATGGATGAAATAGCTATACGTTTTATATACTACCTCCATCCAGAAAAGAATGCAATTCTAGTTCTACTCTTAGTCAAACAATCTAAAGTTTGACAAAGTTTATAGAAAAGAGTATCAATAATTATGACACCAAATAAGTATACTATGAAAATGTATTTCATGACAAATCTAATGATACTTATTTGGTATCATGAATATTGATATCTTTTTTGGCACAAAACTAGTCAAACTTGAGATGGTTTGACTTGGTAAGTTGGTATAATGCTAGAATTGCACTCTTTTCCGGAAGGAGGGAGTATCATATTGCTTATGATTAATATTGATCCTCATCATAACCATAAAAGTGTGGTTCCAGTTTGATAGTTCATTCACGGTTTACAATAAACTGCATGAATCTATGCTGCTGAAGACTAATTTGAGACATGCAGATCAGGATTCTAGTCTAAGTGGTTCTAACCCAAGTCAGCAATTGGGGGGGAAATAGGCAGGCAAATCCATATTCCAAAAGGGTTGGGCTGTAAGAATCAGAAACGGTTACCTCACAAAAAAAAAGAATCAGAAATATTAAGGATTTGAAACATGCAATAAAACTAATGTAGTTAGCTTAATAAATATGATCATGAAGCAATATAATATCAAGAAACAGCTATGTCATCAGGAGTTGCATGGATATATGTGCTTTCTTGCCAAGATTGGCTGCATTTGGATCATGTTTCGTTCTCTGGATTTGTTTTTGAGACGCGTGGATGTCTGTTTCTGTCGGTCTACTATGTTTAATATATTGGAAAGAACCATATCACTATGGATTTTGTTTAAAGACAAATTCTTGGCCATTTTCGTGCAGACTGATATTTAGGATGACATTTTTGGCAGCAACTGACATGATATTGATGCATGCTGACATGCTCTTCCTGGATGCAGAGTTCTGGAAACAAGTTCCTCCCAGTGAACCTTACCGTGTGATTCTGAGTGATGTCAGAGATAAACTCTACAACACACGTGAACGAGCACGCCATTTATTAGCTAGTGGGTTTTCTGAAATTCCAGAGGAAGCAACCTTCACCGATGTTGAACAGGTATGTAAAGTGAAAACAGTAGTGTTCATTTGATGTTCCTGGCTAGGATAAAAAAAATTAATCTGTACCATACACTTTTAGTGCTATATTAAGATTGGATTCTATCATTCTATGGTGTACTGTAACAGGTTGAAACATCCCCAAGATAAAACATCTTTGTAACTGTTTCAGGATATATTATGTTTTATGGATTCATGTCTCGATTGAATCTTTTTTCTCTTGCAGTTCTTGGAGCCACTTGAGCTCTGTTACAGATCTCTCTGTGCCTGTGGTGATCGCTCTGTTGCAGATGGAAGCCTTCTTGACTTCTTACGGCAAGTGTCTACATTTGGACTATCCCTTGTTAGACTTGATACCAGGCAAGAATCTAACCGGCATACTGATGTTATGGATGCTATAACTGAATACCTCGGCATTGGATCATACTGTAAATGGCCAGAGGAGAAACGCCAAGAATGGCTACTATCGGAACTTAATGGAAAGAGGCCGTTATTTGGTCCTGACCTTCCCAAGTCGGATGAGATTGCTGATGTTCTAGATACTTTACACGTATTAGCTGAACTTCCTTCAGACAGCTTTGGTGCATATGTAATATCTATGGCGACAGCTCCCTCAGATGTTCTTGCTGTCGAGCTCTTGCAGCGTGAATGTCATGTGAAAAAACCACTGAGAGTTGTGCCATTGTTCGAAAAACTGGCAGATCTTGAGGCAGCACCCGCAGCTTTAGCTCGGCTGTTCTCTGTTGAATGGTACAGAAACAGGATCAATGGCAAGCAGGAAGTTATGATTGGGTATTCAGATTCTGGCAAGGATGCTGGTCGTTTCTCTGCTGCTTGGCAACTGTACAAGGCACAAGAGGAGCTCATTAATGTTGCTAAGTTGTATGGGGTTAAGTTAACTATGTTCCACGGACGAGGTGGGACTGTGGGAAGAGGTGGGGGCCCTACCCATCTTGCTATACTGTCACAACCTCCAGAAACTATTCATGGATCACTTAGGGTAACTGTTCAAGGTGAAGTCATTGAACAATCTTTTGGAGAGGAGCATTTGTGCTTTAGAACCCTGCAACGTTTCACAGCTGCTACTCTTGAACATGGTATGCATCCTCCAATTTCGCCAAAACCAGAATGGCGTGCTTTAATGGACGAAATGGCTATTGTTGCCACAAAGGAATACCGATCAATTGTGTTTGAAGAACCACGCTTTGTTGAGTATTTCCGCCTTGTAAGTCTTCAGTTTTCTTTGCTTGTGTTTTCCTTTTGAACACACCTTTACTTGTCTTTATATTGTTATTATGCAAATACCACTATGAGATTTTAATTGTAGCTTTTATTTAGTCCTTGGTATTTCACTCTTGTTTTTGTTAGTTCGGAATTCATCTAGCTAGTCCTGAAGGTTAATATACTGTTTCATTTCGTTTTTTACAGTCATGTCATTACTCCTTGTAGTACCCTATAAATTTATTATTTTTTGGTAATGGGTCCATTTTTCTGCATAACTAATCCTGGCATTTGTGTCTTTCTTTCAAATAGGCAACGCCAGAGATGGAATATGGTAGGATGAATATCGGAAGCAGACCATCGAAAAGAAAGCCAAGTGCAGGCATTGAATCACTGCGTGCAATTCCTTGGATCTTTGCTTGGACGCAGACTCGGTTCCACCTACCAGTGTGGCTTGGTTTTGGCGCAGCATTCAAGCATGTCTTGGATAAGGACATACGGAATCTTCAAACCCTTCAAGAGATGTACAATCAGTGGCCATTTTTCAGGGTTACAATAGACTTGGTTGAGATGGTGTTTGCCAAAGGTGATCCTGGTATAGCGGCTCTGTATGACAAGCTTCTAGTTTCAGAGGATTTGTGGTCATTCGGCAAGCGTCTTAGAGCCAACTATGAAGAAACAAAGCAACTTCTTCTACAGGTGATTGTCTTAGATTTTCTTGCATCTGTTACGGACTGCTAGAGTTGCATGTAGACTCTGTGATGCCTCTACCAGGCTTGAACATTGTGCATCTGAATGAGTAGATAATTAAGTTAATTCGTAATCTATAGCCACATCATGCCCAACTAATTCCAGAGAATGTTTAGATACAGCTCAAACTGGTAGATTAACAAGGAGAAAATGGTTCTGCATCTTGTTCTTATCTCACATTCTCACCCACTGCATTGTGACCTGGTGAATTTCAGGTTGCTGGGCACAAAGACCTTCTGGAGGGCGACCCTTACCTGAAGCAGAGGCTGCGCATCCGCGACTCTTACATCACCGCGCTGAACGTTTGCCAAGCTTACACGCTGAAGCGCATCAGGGACCCTGGCTTCCAGGTGAACCCGGGGCCTCACCTGTCGAAGGACATCATGGACATGGGCAAGCCAGCTTCGGAGCTCGTGAAGCTCAACACCACAAGCGAGTACGCCCCGGGACTGGAGGACACCCTCATCCTGACCATGAAGGGCATCGCTGCCGGAATGCAGAACACCGGCTGAAAGAACAAGAATCCAGTGCCTTCTTTAGTCTGAGTTCATGTATCTATCGTAGGGGGATCATGGCGTGAACCGGTTAACAAGAAGACGGGTGCACACCTGGATATGGGGGATTACCTGTTTAGCAGTAGTAGTTTTACTATACGCCATGCTATATCGAACTCCTATGTATGCATATCCATGTTGCTTGAGCCTGCACTAGGGCATCTTGTTACGGTGAAATGACTCTGTGCTGTGCTTGGTGCTGGGCTGCTGGCATATTTGTGCCGAGGAGTCTACTGAATTGCTTGGATATCTTCTCTGTCGTGCGGTATCTTGTCGAATACTACGTACTCTGGGCTAACGGACAGGCTGTAGAGACTAGGGAGGCGCGCGGCGTGTATCACGCACGCGCGGCGGCCCCTGGAAGCTGCGGAGGGCCGGAGCCCGTGGACGTGCACGCGCAACAGGGGCTTTGTCATAATTCTTTTTTTTCTAATTCTAATTTACACTAGCATCTACAACATGAAATCAGCTAGAGCTAATAATGTACTACGTATTATTTATTTAAACCTGTAGATGTTAATATCAAATTTGGGTTTTTAGCATAAAAAACAAAGTGATCTATGTAATTTAAAACGGATCAACGGAGAGAGAAGCCCCATTGCTTCTTTATCCTCATCAGTGTTTAAAACACAAAAACAGTCGCGACGTAGTACTACTATTATTCCAAAGTTGATCGTTGTACTTTATACGGTTTGAGTTCTGGGATTGCCCGTATCTAGTCTAGGAATGATAATGTCGTGCGTTTCCGTTGCGCTCGAATTTATGCGGCCTGCCCTCTTGGGCCCTTCTCGCATGGCTCCATGTCTCGGGTCCCCGGCGCTCCCGCTCGGACTTGCCACACTATCATAACTCGCTCGCTCATGTTCGGTCGCACTAGTAGTCTTGCACAGTACAGTACAGTACCGGGCCGGCGGACCGCGGTGAGCATGAGCATGACCAAATCATTGGCGAGGGCGAGCTAGGTAGGCGCCGATGGTGAGCATGACCAAACCGTGCCGTCGATGCACACGTCTACAGGTCAGTCCATTCATGCCAAACCACAGCAGCACACGAAGAGGAGATCCGACGACCGTTCTCACACAGGCACTGTACCACTCTGCTCCCTCCGAATCGATGGATAGCCTGGCCCTGGCGGTGGCTGCCCCGTCTCGCGGCGCCGGCACAGCGGCAGCCGGCAGGGGCCAGGGCGCCAGGCACCGGCGCATCGCGGAAGCCGATGCCCTGGAGGCCAGAGAGGCCGCCTGGGGGCGGGCGGACTGTTGCGCCCGCGCAGGCGCAGCCGACCCGACGAGGCAGACCGCCCGGCGAGCGGAATGGACCGTAGCGAGTCATCGTGCAGCGTGAGACCGACGGCGGGCCGGAGCCGCGACCGGATTCCGGAGCACTGCACTGTACCGTATCCGCGGCAGCCTCAGATGTTGACTACGTCTCCCCCCTTGGCCTCCTCTGCGTTCATTCACTCAGCGCGTGTTTAGTCGAGGGAAGTTTGGAATTTATGTTAACGTAGCATTTTTGTTTTTATTTAGTAATTAGGCCGCTAGGGTTCGTCTACCTCTGCGACGTAAAGATTCGCCTTTTGGAAAAAAATTTTGAAACGGCGTCACTCACTCATCCGGCCGCTAGGGCTACCTCTGCGACGAGCCTGACGGGGCGGCTGCCACTGACGCGCACGGCAAAAAGAGGCAGCCGGACCCGACGGCCAGAGCGTGGAAGTGGCAGGGGGACCGCCGGACCGGGCCATGCTCTCTGCCTCTGGCCTCTGCTCTCCGCGCGCTCCGACCCAGGCCCGGCCGTACCCGCGGCGGCCATCTCCATTTATTGGCGGTGACGCGCCCACGTTCTCTTGCCCTTGCCCGCACCGCATCAATGGATATGGATCCGATTCCGATGGACTGGACGGACGCACGCACCCGAGGCGACGACGCCCACGCCGCAGTTAGTTTTTGTTTGGAGCCAGAGAAAACAAGCTCTACCACTGGCACTGCACGGGACGGAGATAACACAGGCTCACAGGTCACAGCTCTGCTTGCTCAGTGGTACTACTAGTGCTAGCACGGGAACACTGTTGGACCGCCAGCATGAAATGCCCACCGCGCACGTACTGCTCTGTCTCTTCTCCTTCCGTCCCAAATCAACCGTTGTTTTTTATTTTCATGGTATAATTTGACTTGATTGGTAGGAAATACGTATAGTATTTATATCTCTAAATAAATCTATTATAAAAATAGATTCAACGATTTATCTAATGATATTAATTATGTATTATAAATATTAATATTTTTTACATAAAATTAGTTAAAACTATTTTTCGAAAAACGAGAACGATAGTTATTTTAGGACAGGAGGATGTACTCTCTGATATCTAATCAATGTCACTGGCTACGCGGATTGCGGGTCGGCCTACGGGAAAACAACGTTTAATGTTGTAAACAGTGTGACTCTGACTGTACAAACGAGTGCAACTGTAGAACAAGGTTTAATTTGGACCCTCGTTAGGGTGTTCTCAATGGTAATTTATAAAATAGCTAGCTAGACGAGACTTAGAAATAATAAAAAATAAATACTTTAATGCAGAGGTTATGTGAGCTGTGAGAGAGTTATTTCTAGGACATCGTGCTAGACTAGTTATTTAGGAGTCGCTAGCTATTTGATCTCTCTCCTCGATAACCAATAGAATTCTTCTTAAATTAGCTATTTGGGAACCATCGGAGATGGCACGTAGACCACTGTTGTTTCTGTATGAACCAATACATACGAGTACATTTCAACAACATTTTTTCTTGGCCCAATCAAGTCCGCTGTTCAGGAAAAGGTTTGAGCACTACAGTACTCATCAGTGTGCACTGTTGGATGGATGGAGTAAAGAAGCACTGAGAGTTATTGAAACTATTATATGTCTTCCCGCGTGGTTCCAAAATGACATGTGCGGCGACTGATCAAAAGAAGTACTAGTACTGTTACATTTGTGACCTGTTGAGTTGTTTGAAAAAATTAACAGCATGTTTCTTTTAACTTCGGGTTGTGGATTCTAGTATTTTACATTCAAGCTGAAGCTTACACGGATGTGGCGTTCCTAAAAAGAGAATGTTAGCATCTAACTCCAGTTACACCATAATCTACTCAACTGAATCCCACAAGTTTACAGCTTTTTATAACCCACAGATCACAGGTCCAAAGCTAAAACAAATTGGCCCCTAAAGCTTACTACTCCTCATGTCTATTCTCATGGACCGTACGTGGTCGCTGTTTTATTCTACTCCATAACCAAAGTGCAAAATTCTAAAGCATCGCTTTCTGCCTTTTGGACTAACAAGAAAAAGGCAACATGGTTTGGTTTTTCCAACCTAAGCAACACCTTCTTTTGTCCTCACCAAAAACTAGTACACTACGGGCGTGTTCTTTTCTCTGGTCCTGGACTAGAGACTAAAACAGAAACTAAAATAGGAACTAAAATAATGTTTGTTTCTAGGGACTAAAAGGGACTAAAGAGGAGGAGAGAGACTGCAAGGGAGGGGTATAGACCGTAAAGGGTCAATTAGTCCCAATTAGTAGCCCCCAAGTGACTACTACATTTTAGTCCCTAGTTTCTGTTTTAGTCCCTAATGTTGGATGCAAAGGGACTAATTGGGACTAAAATTTAGTTTTTAATCCCTTCTCCTATGAAAAAGAACATGCCCTATCATTTTTATAGGGCCAAAGGTGTAAAATGCACGGCAAAAGCTTCTCTCTTTCCACGATAAAGAAAAAAGATATAGATTCTTGTTTTGGATTGTTTTATGTCGTAAAGGCAGCCATCCATTGGAAAGTGTGGAAGGTGCCTTTGCATTTTCTTAGTAGGTCGGTTTCTTAGTAAACAAGCCACGTTCGCGTTGACACTTGAAGCCAACGTTCTGGCCAAAACGGAATATATAGGCTTTACATTTTAGTTACAAGAAAGCATATGTAAACCAGACAAAGTATTCTTTTGCAGGACTTTGTGGAAATGGTACTGAATATGTTTGGATACTTGCAAAAGAAACCTCGTGATGGAACCCATATATAAGGGTTGTGACAAACATTCATAGACTACAATCAAACACTTGGTGATATGTACATTTATAATTTATCGGATGCTTCAAATATGTGCATACTAGTCTATAAATTCTCGCTATATTTGAAACCATAACTAATAAAAATTAATTACCCTCATGTTCTATATTTCTCTATTTTTTATTTTCTAAAAATACGCATACATGGCTTGTTTGATTGGTGTTCTAGGAAACATGATTGCCCAGGCAACAACAATATCCAGCCAAAGGCAAGCAAATTTGGACGCCTGGAATTGCTACCGGGCTCACGCAGCTTTTCCAAGGTCTGAAACCAAATAGGCCCTGGATCCTATATCAGTTTTTCTCCTTTGCATAGAACCTTCATATTTATTTGGTCATTATAGAGTTATCAATTAATACCTTGTATATGTTTTTCGTGTATCCATAGTTTTTGTCTCTCTGCATGGCACCTCCATGGCTCCATGAGTCTTGAAAGCATTTAGTTCAAATCTTCGCTTAAATTATGGTGGCCCTTATTGTATCCCATGTTTTGTGCTGTCGTAAATCTAGATTTTAACTTTTAATTTTGCTTTGATTAGTTGCTATAATTTTTATCCCCAAGTTAAGTAAAAATATGGTGCCTATTGTAAATTTAATTCAAAACTCCTTTTGTATTTTTTTTAAAAAAATAGGGATTTAAAGATATAGAAATGTGCTCTCAATTACTACTACTATGTCATAAAGGGAAGCCTGCACCATAGCATTCAAGAACAGTGGTAGAGCATGAACTGAGATTTAGGAGGGGCGGTCGACGATGCTAACCTCAAGAGATTATTATTGAAGCCTAATAATAATAGTTTACCCCAAAAGCATCTTAATATACCAAGGGGGGCAATAGCCATCTTGGGTCTACTAACCACCTCCATTGCTCAAGAATCGAATTTTCTTATCAAAGATTATGTGTGTCATAATTTTATTTTATTTTAAAAGTAGTGCTTAAAATTTGTACTATTAGTATCTATGTCAAAATGTTTGAGTTACAACATGTATACATGGTTTACATTAGCTTTTTTATATATATTGGTAGTAATTGAAGTGGGTAATTTAGAAACACGTATAGTCATAATTTATGGTTATTTAAATATTTTCCATATTAGCATATGTTAGTATTTAGATATACTTTAATTTAGTTTGAGGGGATACTTTAGTCTACGTTTCATCATGGTAGAAAGTGGTAATTTATATGCAAATTTTGAGCATTACTAAAATTATCTGTCATAATGGCATGATGGATAATTTATGCGGTTAGTTTATGTGTATTATGTTTTATAATGGCATGGGCGGGTAATCTGGCTATATATTTGGAGGCTACTTTATGTTGTCTTTCGTAATAGCAGAGGTGAGTAATGTTTAGAAAAAATCAAAATAGACATGGTGGCTATTATTATCAACGATGGTTAGAGTCTATCGAATTGATGGTTAGATTTTTATGATTTTTTGAAAACTTTTAGGATTTATCATTTTCTCTAGTGTTTCTCATGAGAATTAACACTAGAAACATTCAACTAGTTAAATGGAGATTTTAGAAAAAAAATGTTTCTCACCTAGATGCTAGTAAAAAGGAAGTACCAAAGGAAGAAAAATTGATGCATCACATATGCCCTGATGATAAGATGATAGGTAAGTCGTGGGCAATCCCAGAGCTAAACATGCACCCGCATTGAGATTATTCCAAAAGATTAAAGAAGACCAAAAAGTTGGATGGGCATCCATGGACTTTTGGGTAAAATAATGGCACATGCTTGGATACGGTGGAAGTGGGATCGACGAACCTAGAAAAAAGAAAGAAAGAAAAGGGACAGGGAAAGGCCACTGCCGTGCTCGCTCTTTTGCTTTATTCTAACCAGGAGACTAGTTTAAGGGTCTCTTTGAACCTATTGATGTTAATAATTAGTAACTAAAATTAATACTAGTAGGCTCAAACAGGCCTGTTAATAAACTAACTAGTAACTATTAGCTTGTTGCACTAGCAATATATTAGTAGGTGGTTTCAAATAGCCTCTGCTAATAATTATCTAATTAATAGCTAGTATCTATTATCAACTAGTATTAGTAGGTGAAGTACCCTGCATCCAAATAGGCCCTAATCTCAAATTAAAGTGAGCGGTACGTCAGCTCGGATTTCCGGAGCAAGACATCCATCTCTATCAGGATAGTAGTAGAAGTAGTAGTATCGTATTACAAGAAATCCGGTGAAATTGTGCTTGGCTTTGTGCACACGACTGTAGCACGTTTTTATTAAGAGGATGAGAATTAAGTATAAAATCCCTTTTTGAACAAAGGGAAAATAGAGAAATTTTAGGGGATTGAAATTTATACGGAAATTTCTTATGAAGACCTTTGGACAAAGGATTGAGTTCTTAGGAATCTTATAACATTCTTATGAAACGACCTGTTTCATAAGAATTTGGAAGAGATTGTACTAAAAGCTTTGACCTCATGGAAAGCTTTATTGTTTCTCTCTCTCTCTCTCTCTCTCTCTCTCTCTCTCTCTCTCTCTCAATTTCTATATTTTTTTCTACACTCTATTTAAATATTCAATCTTACAGTTTATTGTGTTTTTCAATCTATATATTTCTACGTTTTTTCTACCTTTGCGTTTTCAGAATCCAAGCTAAAAGAGGCCCTTATTGCTAATGTCTGTGGTTGACTGTGTGTTATTGCGAAGTGCCGACCTGTACTCCATGCTGCAGCAGATTGTAATTTGTACCCCAGCACAATCAAGTCGTACTCGTACAGTCATTTAACGAGTAGGGCATCCAAATTAGTGGTGTTTCCTCTGTCCAAATGTTATTATAGTATTTAAATTTTATCCCACAAAAAAAACATTGTAGGTAAACATGTACTCTTAGTTCCCATTCATCTAAGATATAAAGTAAAAGCACTATAGGTTAACTTTTTAAGGGGTAGTCGATCATTTGTCAATTACATCTCCAACTTCTAGTATGCGTCTCTTTGTACTCTCTCCATTCCAAAAAAAACAATTCTCATTTCCCAAAAAAGTTAGATGATTTCAAACTTTAACAAAGTTATACAAAAAGTATTAATAATTATAATATAAAATAAGTATCATTAAATTAATTGCGGAATACATTTTTATAATAATTATATTTGAAGACATAAACGTTAATAGTATTTTTCAAAAAAAATTAATGTTAATACTATTCATTATATATTTGATCAAATTTGAGCTTGTTTGGCGGTTATAAGTTTTGTAATTGTATCTTCTTTAACTTTAACAGAGGGAGTAGGAGAGAAGGAGGGTGTGAAAAGGTTTAAATTGTACTGCATGGATGCACACTATACACAGATGAATGATTGAAATGAAATGAATGAATGCTGGCACGAAAAGCTCCTTCAGGCTTCAGTGATCAAAAGCTGCGTTTCACCAGACCTGCGAGAGTCACCGTTCATGTGTGCTGGCTGTAGTAGAGAATCTGTGCTTCAACTCAGGCTTGATCAGTTCTCCTCCAAAAGTTTACATCCTATCCCATCGAATATTTGAACACATGTACAGAGTATTAAATATAGATTAAAAAATAACTAATTGCACATATTGCGATTACTTTACGAGACGAATCTTTTAAGCCTAAGTAGCCCATTATTTGACAATAAAGTGCTACAGTAACACATATGCTAATGACGGATTAATTATGCTTAATAAATTCGTCTCACGATTTACCGAATAATTTATTTTTTTATCAGTATTCAAACATCATCTCCTATAACATACACCACGACACTTTACACTATGGATAAACACCACCTCACTCTCCGAGCTAAAAGGTGATATGGCACAGCCTTTTGAAGTTGCCATTAGTTGGGGGACTTTCACTGAAGTTCCTTTTTTTTTTTCCAAAACATGGCTTTCTCTAAAGTACTTTTCGGATTTGCTTTTCCTGCACTGTCCCCGCATTCCACAGATTTTAAGCCCAGCCGAGGTCTGGCAGCCTTTCGCATATGATCATCACTGCATCGCCCAGAGCGACCCAGTAGTCTTTGTAAAAGCAAGGAAACAGCATGTACTTGCAGGAGTGCCCAACATCCGTTCCAAAGGGTTGGTTACACGTACGTTTCCTCTGATGCTTTGGGCAGGGGTTTAGGCGCCGGTGCTGGCAAAATATGTTGCAGCGCGATCAATGGCCCTGTATAATCTGTCTTTTTATAATCCATCTTTTTCAGCTTGTTTTTCCAACCGGAACAGTGTTTTTCTCTCACGACAAAATCAGCCGGAACAGTATTTCGACTTGTTTTTTCAGCGAAACGAACGAGACCAATATTCAATACCAGTGCGGAGTGATCCATATATCACCCAGGGTGGCCAGTTAGCTTAGACACAGATGGTCACGAGAAGGTAGGAGCAAGTTCATATTTTTCGACGTGCATTTGGAAAACATATCACTTTCAGTGTGTGTTAGCTCCCCTGCAATTTTCTTAGAAAGCTTGTACATCAGTTTGGCTAGAAAGATACACTAGGTCGTCTATTGATACAGGGAAGAGGCAGACGAACAACCAAAGAAGAATATTAGGATGGGAATGCCTGCAACAGATTGTGTATATATAATGCCCGCAGGGTATGAAACAAAGTTACACTCTCTTTAAAGGCCAAAAGTTTATTGTTTAACATTGTCATGCGTTTTTCTTCCCGATTTCCCTCTTTTCTTCTCCTCTTTTGATATCAATGGAGCTCCTAAACAAAACGAGGAGGAAATAAGAGGGGCTGGATCGTCCTCCATGCTAGATCTACTGAAGTTGTGTTGTTGATATGTTAACAAGAGTCAAAGGGTCGATTTTTCCCTCCCTGCGACTGTGCTACAGCCATCACTACAGCTACAGGTAATAAAAACCACCGTAGCCTCCTCCTATATTGAGCGCGTAGAGAATCAGGGCACGCGACCCACGCTCGGGCGAAGCGCCCCCATGCCTTCGCTTTTCCGCAACAGATTCCTCCCGGTCCACTTCCTCTCCCTTTGACGTCCCAACCCCACACTCGCGCAACAGTGCTTTATAAAAACCGGCAGATTCTCCTCGAATCACAAGCTCCACCACATGCACGCACCCTAGAGTCCCCGATCGATCGATCGTCATCGCGCAAAGCAAAACCGAAAACAAAAACCAAATCACACAGCAAGTGACTTGATCACAGGAGTCCAATCCTCGCCCGCGCCGTAACCATAACCTTTTTTTCAGTTTCACTTTCACCACCCCGCAGGCCGACCCGACCCAACCCACACAGTACAGTCATGTGTGCATCCGTCCATGCATCTGCTGCGGCTCCCGTCTGTCTTGGTCTTGTGACGGACGGGGGCCAGCCGAGTCCGAGGGCATTTAAGTAGCAACGACCCCTTCGTCCCCGCCCCCTAGCTCCCTGCCTGTCACCGCCCAGCCTCTCGCTCTCGCTCGCTCTCGCTCCGGAGTCCGGGCGCCCCTTCCCCATCCTCTCTAGCTCCCTCTAGCTACTACTAGCACTTCCTTTAACTGGTGTTTCCTTGCTTTGACGAAGCAGCACCAAATGTTGTCCCACGTCGAGATGGCCCCCGCGGCCGGTGGGTTCAAGCTCTTCGGCAAGGTCATCACGCAGCTGTGCGCCGCCGAGAGCGCCCCGCCGGCGCAGGAGGCTGCTTCCGCGGCGGCGTCGAGGAGCACGGCCGCCTTCGCGCGGGAGAGGGACGATCCGGACGAGCGCGACCAGCCGATGGTGAAGCGGGAGGCGGCGGCGTCGGACCACGACTTCGTTGCGGACAAGCAGCAGCACTCCGCCGCCGGCGGCGGCGGCGGCGGCGGGCCGGCGGCGGCGGCCGAGAGCGACGACAGCAAAGGCCAGCAGCAGCAGCAGCACCCGCGCCCGCGGCATCATCATCATCAGCAGCAGCAGCAGCATCAGGACACCGCGGAGGCGCGCGCCGCGGCGGCCGCGTCGTCGGCGCCGCCGCTGCCGTGCCCGCGGTGCCGGAGCCGCAACACCAAGTTCTGCTACTTCAACAACTACAACGTCAACCAGCCGCGCCACTTCTGCAAGGACTGCCACCGCTACTGGACCGCAGGCGGCGCGCTCCGCAACGTCCCCGTCGGCGCCGGCCGCCGCAAGAACCGGCCCCTCGGCCCCGCCGGCGCCGTCCCCGTCCCCGTGCCCGTGCCGGCCCACCACCACCTGCACCACGCTCAAGCGGCGGCGGGCTTCGTCCTCGGCTTCCCCGGCCAGCACCCTTCCTCCCCGACGTCGCCGTCACCGGCCGTCTACGGCGAGTGGTGGCCGGTCTGCCCCGACCGCCGGTTCTGAGCTAGTCCTGATCCTGACGTGACGATCCGATTGATCGAGCGCAGGCAGACCCCTCGGAATCGGATAGAGAGCTAGTAGGGTGGTTTGACTTGCGTAAGTTGCTGGTGATGAGGTGGGGAAGGCTGCCTTGTTTGTACGTTCTTCGAGCTTACGCAAAAACACCAAAGTGGTATGGATTGATGGATGATGGATGGAGGACATGGAAGTGGCTTCTGTTTTCTTCCCTTTTCTCTGTGTCTAGCTCGTCTGTTTCCTTCTTCTGTTGTTTCCTAGCTTGGCTTTAGCTACTAGCTTACTACACCTTGCAGATGTGTGTAAAAAAGTGTAATTTAACAGCAGGGGGAAGGTTGCAAACTCAGCGTTCGTACTCAACTGAATGTGATGCGATCAGTGATCCCATGCACTCCTGTCCTGTCCAGTCCTTAACTCGGATCCCCGGGTGCTCACTGCTCAGCTCTCGCACGACCATTACAAACCGGCGTCCTCCTGGGAAAAGGTGACGACGGAGTGCTGAAGCTCTGAGATGGAGCTCACGGCATTCCCTTTGCAGCAGCGCTTGCAGTCTGCCCAGCACCCAGCACGGATGAGAGAGTGAGTGAGTGAGTGAGTGAGGCCTCGTTTAGATGCCAAAAAATTTGATGAAATACTATTGCAGTGGTTTTCATTGTTATTTGGTAAATAGTGTCCAATCATAGTCTAATTAGGCTTAAAAGATTCGTCTCGTGGATTTCGTCTAAACTGTATAATTAGTTTTATTTTTTATTTATATTTAATGCTTCATGCATGCGTCCAAAGATTCGATGTGACGGAAAATCTTGAAAAAATTTGTAAAATTTTTTGCAACTAAACTGGACCTAAGCCAAGGAAGGAAAAGACCCATACCAAGGGCCCGTTTAAATCCAAAAATTTTTGGATTTTGGCTCACGGTAGCATTTCATTTGTATTTGGTAATTAGTGTCTAATTATGGACTAATTAGATTCAAAAGTTTTGTCTTGTGATTTCTCACCCAACTGTGCAATTAGTTTTTTTTCATCTATATTTAGTACTCTATTTATGTGCCGCAAGATTCGATGTGACGAATAGTACATAAAATTTTTTGGAATCTAAACAGCCCCAAACCGATGTGTTCAAAACCAAAAAGGCCCCATGATGCTGTTGACCGCGCGCGCAGAAGAGACTGTAGAGGCTAGACAACGAAAAGGCGGGCTTGCTACATCTACATGGCCACGGTCACATTTCCGTGTGTGGGTGGCCCAGCGCTTTTCACCACCCTTTTGGGAAGTTTCATCACAATGGGCATGGGGCATGGGGGTGATGGGGGACAGGGCACCTGCCCGCCGGGTGGGCTTTTACCGGCCATCAATGCCCGCCCGGCGAAAGATCGCGCGGCCTTTTACTAAATTTTTTGGTTTTAGTTGTCGAAATTTTTTTATATTTGGTTTTTCAATTATGGATTAATTAGGTTTGAGTTTTTCATTTTCTCATCTATTTGAATTAATTAGTATATTTAATTATAGATTAATTAGGTTTGAAAGTTTCATCTCAGTTGAAATTTTTTTACTCAATTGTGTAAAAATTCCAATTTTTTTCACTCTCTCCATCACATTTTTAGCCAGTATTATTAGGTAAAAAAAAAATAACTAATTGCATGCAGCTTTAGTTGGAAATCACGCTTTTGATCCACGTCGAAATTTTTAAACTAAATCGGGTTGAATTTTTTTTCAGGGGGCCTAAAAAGCGTCGGGAGATAAATATTCCAACCGTCAACTTGTCAGGAGTCAAGTGGGGAAGGAACGGAACCGAGAGTACTCCGAAGATAGCCCTACTACTAGCAGCGGAGTCGCTGCATGAATGGTACTGGTCAAACTTTTCTGATTAGGCTCGTAGAAAATATATATAATATTTATATTTTTAAATAAATTTACTATAAAAATATATTCAACGATCTACCTAATAATATTAATTATGTATCATAAACATTAATATTTTATTAAATATATTTTGTCAAAGTAAAAAATTGCTGACTTTTTTTTAAGCTAGGCTGCCGCTTTGCGTGCTTTAATTGCTCGCAAAGTTACTTTATGCGGTAGCGGCCGCGAGAGCGCTGGGTTTGTCGCGGGTTTACTGCTCTCTCGCTCGGCTCTCGCCCGCGTCGTCACGTGTGGTTGGGAGTTGCGTGACGGACTGCGGCGCGGCCGGGGGACCTTTTCGGACGCGCGGCCTGCTTGCTCTGCTGACAGCAAACAAACCGCTGACGTGGGTGCGCCTAACCTCCGGCTTGCGATTTCATTTTCATTTTTATACATATATTGGCGGCTACTTAATGAATCGTCGTTTAATTGGTTTCATAGCAGCAGTGGGGTTAGGGCAGTCCCAATAAAAAAAATTAGTAGTTTTTATAACATAGGATATTGTACTAAAAAAACTACTTTTCAACCCATGGTTTCTATGAGTAATAATTATTTTTCTTTCTCTCTCCAACTCTATCTTCTTCCTCCAATAGGAGTGTGACACGAGCTCCTAGAAACTAATGGTTTCTCCCCAATGATAATTTCATGGTTTCTTGGTGCATTGGGTTAAGAGAAGACCTGATTTCTTCATGAGGAAACCATTTCTATGATTTTTCTCTCTTTCTTCATTAACTACGTTGTCATGTCATTATTTTACCTACGTACCAAGTCATTTACTATGCTGCCTACTACATTACATTAATGAGTGAATTTTGTGTCAGGTAGGTGCATTCCGCCTGCAGCTTGGAGATGGACAACCCAAAAGGCAAAAAGCTCATCCCATCTCAGTCATCAGCTGTCCATGACGTGCACTGGGCTCCTTCCTTCCCTTTCCCGCTGCAAAAAAGGGCCCGACGACTCTGAACCCAAAAGTTGGTGAAGCGAGCGGACTTCAGGCTTCAGCAGCAGCAGACTGAAATCGACAGCCTTTTTCTTACGGTCACTCGGTCGTCCCGGTTGCTTCGTTCGGAAGCGTGGCGTCGCAGCCAGCGTGTTGCCTTTCCTCGGCAACGACGCAAAAGCACCGGAGAAACTACGCGCTCGCTCGCGTCCGACGCTATGCCTACTCTACTCTACTCCTACTCGCACGCGGCGCGGCGCCCGTCCAGAAAAGAAAACGGCGTGCTGAACTGCTGGTCTCGCCCCCCTTCGTCCCCCGGCCGTCTTCGTCTCATGTCTCATCGATCGAGATGGGACATGGCTGGGATGGATGGATATCCATGCCATCTGCTCTCTGCTTTGATCTGGTGGTTTGTTAAACTAGGGATGAGGACCCGGTACTATGAGCCATTAAATCGGCCGTTTTCGTTAATGCAGGAGCCGGGTTGCTTTCCGCTGCAATCAAGGGGAAGAGCCCAAGAAAGGGAAGATACATGTAGCCCTCAAGAAAACGATCTGTGCTGGTCTTTAACATCCTCTGGTTAGCTACTGTCGATACATGTCAATTATTAACACCACGTCAGTCGATGCTGCCCAATCGTTTATACAGAAGAAGAAACTTGACCAGCTCAGAGAAAAAAAAACTTCATCGGCGGCGGCAAAACGTCTACGTGGCTACGATTTGTCTGTCACTTTTATGAATAGTGAAACCAGCGAAATATACATGTATGTAAGGCCAGTCTCAACAGGAGTTTCACAGGGATGTCATGCATATTTAATGTGGTGACACATCAGCAGTAAAGGAATTTTTGCATGAAATGGGGAGGAGAGAGAAGGAGAAAGTTTCATCTCGATGAAACGAGGTCGCACTGTTTCCAAAGTCTTGGTATTCGCGTGAAACCAGCGTTGAGGAAGATCGTTTCATCATCCACGATCTCAATGCTGCTGCGAGCCGCCACCATCGTCTCCATCCTCCCATTGCCGAGGATTCTTCCTCCTGTACCATCCAGCTCCCACCCCTGTTCGGCACAAACCCACCATCATCCGCCGTCCACATCCGCCCGTCCGCCCGTCCGCCATCCCTAGGGTTTAGCGCCAATGACCGAGCCATGGATCCGCCGCCGGCAAAGCGAGCCGCCACGGATCCGCCGCCGGCAAAGGAATCCGGGCGACGCCTTCCCGGTAGAGGAGGGAACGCTCGCCAACATCGGCTCGGCATGAAGAAGGCCGTCGTGCCTGCGCCACCACTAGTTCCGCCGATTTCGTCCCGAGCTGCGCCGACTGCAACGCCAGCCGCGACGACCCCCACCCCTGCTGCGTCGACTGTCGGCCCTGCTGTGCCTAGCTCCTCCTCTACTGCGCCGACATCCATTGTGCCGCCATGGACACCGCAAGGAGCAGGATGGGGCGCCATTCCCCCAAATTTGGCATCTGCAAACCAACAATGCCCAAATTCATGGTAACCATTTGATTTCAATCTGTGCAACTAGTTCATTCTTTCTGAATTATGTACCAATCTTTCTTTATTTATGTGTGCAACTAGTTCATTCTTTCCATCTGCAAACCAACAATGCCCAATCTTTCTTTATTGTGACTAGGCCAAGCAAACATTTTTTCTGAATTCTGTACCTAATACATAACTAAGTAGCAGTACTTTCATTGTTGGCGACAAGAGCCATCCAAGGACAAGAGAAATATATGGAAATCTCCATGCATTTTGTAGTCAAAACTTTATCCTGACCAACAGTCCAACACATGTTCAGGATCTATCCGCCAGGTGGTTTTCTAAATATGATTAATCAACAACAAGTCCAAGGAGAAAATGTTCATTTGGTTGATCACACTATGACCTTCAATCCAATGTCTCCACCACCACCACCAAATGCGTATGGAACAGGAACTTCCCAACCTGTGAAACAAGGCTCTTCAATAAACAATACGGTGCATATTGACATTGACAAAGAGGAAACCAATGAGGCAAAAAGGGGAGGAAAGAAAAGATTTTGGACTCATGACGAGGAAACAAGACTGGTAATTACTGATCACTTTTTTTCCTTTTTGTAGGCCAGTGTTTGGTACAATACTTGATTTGTTCATCTTTTTTTATTTCG